ACAACCTGGTATTTTCCAAACGCACACATAAGGTGCTGTAAAATAATTTCCAAGTGTGGTGCCAACTCTTCTGCAGCCTCCTGCAAATTCAAGGACAACTTCAGGTATTTCAACATTTGAACCAGATAGCACAAGAACCAAGCATGCTAAATGGTAAGAACCTCTTCAAATGTTGCAAAAGCCGAACAAGCAGCCTCCTGCACCCTCTTGTTCGTATCCAGGATTCTTCGTAAAAGACCCATAAGAACCTTGTCAAATTGCTCATAACCTTTTTGATGGCCATTATCCTAAAATATACAAAAAACAAGTGTGATTTTGCTGATTATAAAATGCCGTAACAAGAAAATGAAACAAGAATATTTTACAGCAGGAAAAGCTTGAGGATGAAAAGCCCAAAGTTCTATTTACATCTCAAAAAAGGAGTATTTTAAATGCATAAAAGTAGTGATATATTCAAAATTCCAAACGTAAATTATCAGATTCAACTTTTGGATGAGCACCATTGAGTTAACAGGTTAGGTGTTCAACATTCTTTTGAAAGTAGGCTAGGTTTTCAACTTATCAGATTCGACTTTGGAGTTATCACAAAGGTTTCTATTAGTAATATCTAAAAAAACATTCTCTTTTCCCAGTTAATTCACAAGACAATCAAGAACAGCCATTTAAAATGACTCTAGATGGCAGGCACATACTATCAAAATGTTCATTGTAAGAATTGCAGCTTATGATAGTTCTCATTTTGCTCATGATGAAACACAAGTATCACCGCCCTTTTTGATATTCATTTGAGCTAGCCAATTTAAGTTAAGAACTGGTCCTTGTGTCTGGTTCTATCCACAAGAAACATTATCTTCTTTTCTCTGTCGGAAGAAGAATATTAGAGGGTCTGGAATTTATTTCACATGCCATCAACCTAGGTAATATCCTTGAAACCTTTCTCATATCCCTGAATTTAGCAAGGTAATATTTTTCTAATTAAAAAATAAATATTATCAGATATAGGAGAAAAAGCTACAGAAGCTGGATAAAAAATCCTCTAGGCCATCAAAAAGAATAAAAAAGAAAGAAAGACTTAAAAATCAAAACAACTGTATGCCATCTGCACTGCCAAAGATACATGATATAGGAAAAATAGGATTTTGTGGAAATATTCTCACCCTTTAATTCTTGATTTGGTCAACAATTTAGCAATATATTAGCTATGCCTTTTTGTTATTAATAGCTATATTTGACATTATTAGATTTCCTACTTCCTAATTCTTTCTCTTTGACTTATTTTCCTATTTGTTAGGTTTTCTACGTTTCCTATTTTTGTCGTTATTTGGTGCCTATAAACAAGCTATCCCAGATCAGTTATTAAGTACACTATATATAATTATAATTCAAATATTGATATATCGCTTTTCTCCATGTTGGTTCTAATAAAATTTCTCTAAGTTTTTTTGTCCAAGTTCTCTTTGTTCTGCATCAAGAGAGGAACACTCGAGGGAATGGGGTTGCTCACTGATATTTTGGCCGAGTCACTTCTATAGTTTTCTGTTTCTATAGCTTTGTTACATGAGCAGCACCCCTCAGGTGTCTTTTCTATGATATCTTTCGGTGATTCTACAATTTTGTCTTTTATAGCTTTCATACATGGGCTGTGTGCCTTTTCTGCACCCTTTCAAAGAGAAAAAGCCTATCACATTTGACATGTCAAGCTAATTGCTCTAGCATTAACAACTATTTCTCTAGAAATAAGACCACCTTTAGCAAACACGTTTCTTGAGTAACTGATTGACCACTAGCTTCTCCACAACAAAGGTAAGCCATTTACAGGCAATGCAGCACCTAGAAGAACTTCATTAACCAAGCTCTTATCCCACTGGAAAATTTATTCCACTATTCAAGGATGCCAACTCCACAATATACAAATGCCAAGTTATAATTAACATTCAGCATCTAGGCATATAATCATCGGATGGATTTCTTACTTCTTTTTATCAGCATAAGCAAAACACTTGCAACTAGAATGATATTAACTATTATACTAAAAAAAATTTCTTTTAAGAAGAAACAGCTGGCAGAGCATATGTTACTTCATACCTGGACTATATACTTGCTGAATCGAGAAATTGTCCAACAGGAGATGCTCCGTATGAGTGGGAACTTATCATCCAATAGAGGAATAAGAAATTGTACAATCTGCAAAGAGAGATTTAAGTTTCAACCCTGATTAATTCAGAATTTTCTATCAGCAGAAGAATCAATGAAGAAATACCAACGAACAGGGCCCCGTAATTATCATTGACATGCTAAATTCTTAAGGTAATTACTTCTTAATGCAGCAAAGCAATGTCAGAAGCAAGAATTTCTCAAACAGATTCTAAGAACTAACAAACAGAGAGAACTTCTTGTTTCCATCTATTACTAGTCTATAAACCATGTGATCTCATTCAATAGCTAATCAAGAACTGCAACCCGAATTACCTCAGACAAATGAGGATAAAGACCATTAATGCAACCTTGAGCCACTGCACCAAGAACCAAAACAGCAGCTTCCCTTTCTTTCCAAGTTGCATCACCACTATTTGATAACTGTGCCTGTAGACGACAACAAGATAGGTTTTAGCTTTACACCAATTACATACATAAAGGACCAAAAAAACTAAGAAAAGTGAAAAAACAGCCTTCTCAATCAAACTTTCACATCTAACACCAGATAAATTAGCTACCTGGACAATAGGCATCATTGTCGGAAGGATTTCATCACCAAACACATTTGATAAATAATCAAGAGCTGCTGCACTACATTTCCGCAAGTTCCAAACATTAACTGTGTCGTCATCCTGCCAAAAAAATCATTTTAAGACTTACGATAATCACAGTAAGAAAATCTGAATATTTTGGCATACCAGCTACTAATTAAGCAAATAGATTTTTGTTTGCATTGATTTAGTTAGAATGATAGTTCACCCAATTGAAGCAACCAACAAAGAATATGATGACTTACATCATCTTCCACATTATCTGACCCATGAAACCGCGATGAATGGAACCGAGGTTTCAGATCCTGCAGGGTAAACACAGTGACAGAAAACAACTTGAGAAATAAACAAACCACACCAAACTACCAAACTCGAAAAGCACAAATTATTTGAACCTGATCACGGTCTGGCAGAGATTCATCTTCCTGCCAAAAAAAAAATCGAAATAGATATGGTAAATAATAAGTAACAAGTGGTCATTCAGAATTGGCTGCAAACACAAAGCATTCACAAAGTTAACCTCAGCATCAACGAGCGATTCATCATCGTCAGCGTAAGCCATGTTTGACAGCAAAACCTGCAAAAACAGCAGAAGATAGATTAAAAACCAGAGAAGTGCAAATGGCTGTTTAAAGGATTAACTAGCACAAAGAAGTTAAAATGTAGCACAGTAGTAGCATACTGGAATTAAACGAGGTAGGAAT